TTCATTAATATTCGTCAATATTTTTGAGTGGAGAATTGAATATTTTCGGTGGAGAAATGGATATCGCTCGGAAATTTTTCAATACCGAATATTCTATTCTACAGTTCAAATAATATATTGAATGACACATGCAATTTCAAATTGGTCTACATTTCACAAGAATTTCTCCAATTATTTACTAAAAATTATGAGTTTGGCTTCATTCGCTCTTCCTGATAAAAATCGGGATTTTATTTGAGTGGAATTAACGTGGAATATCCCAATCTCTTTTTTCATTAATATTTGTCGATATTTTTGAGTGAAGAATTGAATATTTTCGATGGGAAAATGGATATCGCTCGGAAATTTTTCAATACCGAATATTCTATTCTACAATTGGAATAATATATTGAATGACACATGCAATTTCAAATTGGTCTACATTTCACAAGAATTTCTTCAATTATTTCCTAAAAATTATGAGTTTGGCTTCCTGATAAAAATCGGGATTTTATTTGAGTGGAATTAACGTGGAATATGCCAATCTCTTTTTTCATTAATATTCGTCAATATTTTTGAGTGAAGAATTGAATATTTTCGATGGGAAAATGGATATCGCTCGGAAATTTTTCAATACCGAATATTCTATTCTACAGTTCAAATAATATATTGAATGACACATGCCATTTCAAATTGTTCTACATTTCACAAGAATCTCTCCAATTATTTACTAAAAATTATGAGTTTGGCTTCATTCTCTCTTCCTGATAAAAATCGGGATTTTATTTGAGTGGAATTAACGTGATTGAATATCCCAATCTCTTTTTTCATTAATATTTGTCAATATTTTTGAGTGAAGAATTGAATATTTTCGATGGAAAAATGGATATCGCTCTGAAATTTTTCAATACCGAATATTCTATTCTACAATTCAAATAACATATTAAATGACACAGGCTACTCCAAATTTCTCTACATTTCCCAATAATTTTTCCAATTATTCAAGAAATTATGAATTTTTCTTTCATTCTCTGTTTATGATAAAGAGATCCTTCTAGACTAAATAAATGTTCAAAGGCAAATTAGAAGCACGTGGACGAATATTCTTGAGTGAAGAATTGAATATTCTCCCCTAAAAAACAGAAATCGTCGTGAAATTTTTTGCCGCCGAATATTTACTCTTCAATTCATTGTTTTTAGTTCTTCAATACAATTTCACTTGTGGAACTTTTAAAATGTTATGAATCAAAGGAAAAATCGGGATTTACTGAGTGAAAATAGCGTGGAATGTCCCGATCTCTTATTTCGATTCCGTTATCCATTAAGTTACTTTAAATCGATAGGAAATCGATGGCAAATCACGGAAAATTTTGATGTGACCAGTGTCTTTTTCGATTGCTCCTCATTCCCTCGTCTCACTGTCGCGCTTGGTGAGCTGAGGGAACCGAGAGAACGATATTTCTCCGTATTTATAACGCTAAGGAACAACAACTTTACAATCATCTTCTTACCCTTTTCGAGCTTACGGCTTTACGTATTTCTGCACAAGTTACTGATGGGAGAGGATGTAACAAATGGGATAATGGAAGGATTCTCCTCAGGAATTCGCCTGAGGGCAGATGTAGTGAGGGACTCGAGGGATCACCTGATTTATAGAATCCGATAACGATGATAATCATGTTACGGAGAGTGTAATATGTTTATGGCCTAGAGAATATTATCCGGGAGGCTATTTCGTATATCGATGTTATGTACATTTTATGAAGACGTTTGGGGGTGGAAGTGGGTTTTTGCGATCGTGAGAGCATTTTTTTCCAGTTTTCTGCTTTTTGTAAATTTTATTTTGTGAGGCGAACGGAAAAATTGATAGGGGAATTTTGGGAAATCTTGAAGATTCTTTGATAGATTGATGATTTTTTAAACAATTCCCATTTTTTAATGTAATTAATTGCATTGGGAAATTTTTGAAATTAATTTTTCAAGTTTTTTCACTGCATTTTTCTTCTATCCTTGAAAAATGAGGCGGAAAAACTTGAAGAAGTTTTTGATTTTTAAATAAAACATTTTCTGTTGAACATTTGTTTTAAAAAAACTGCGGGATTTTTCAATATAATTGGAGATAAAGGGAATCGAGTTGATTTTAGTAACGAATGCATTAAGTTTTTGCGATCGTGAAGGCGTTTTTGAAAATATTTTTCTGTTTTTGTAAATTTTATTTTGTAAAGCGAACGGAAAAATTGATAGGAGACCTTGAAAAATTGTGAAATTCTTTGATAGAAATGTTGGTTAGAAAAAAAAAAATAGATTTTGATTTTTTTTATAATTTCCATTTGTCATTATCATTAATTGTATTGAGAAATTTTGCGAAATTAATTTTTCAAGCTTGTTCACTGCATTTTTCTTTTGATATCATCAGATAATGAGAGGGAAAAACTTGAGGAAATTCTTGATTTTTAAATAAAACGTTTTCTGTTGAACATTTCTATTGAAAAAACTGTGGGATTTTTTTGATAAAATTGGGGATAAATGGAATCGAATTGAATTTTATAGCGATTGTAAAAGGGGTTTTATTATTTGTTCGACAGCTGCTAGCTTTTAAAAAATCTATTAACGTGGGGTGAATGTCCCAGTTACTGAACGCACAAATAAAGCGTCTCGATTACTTTAAAAGTTCGCAAAAACTTCTGAATATAATGGAAACTTGTGAATTGTGAGGGGATAAATTTATTGGATGTTTGAAATATCACAGAAGAAAAAAGTTTTAATTGGAACCCATAAAATCAAGTGAATTTGTCATTAATTCCCTCAATAATCCCTAAATTTCAGTGAATAAATTCCTAACGTATGGGATAACTGTATTTACTTTGGAAAATCCCAGAAAATGAGGGATGGATTTATGAAAATTAAAAAGTACAACTGTTTTTTCTGTGATAATTCAGCTCCTGGGACGGGTCATTACCCGAATTTCGGGGGATTGCTGTCCCCATGAAAAAATACGTAACATGTTTGTCGTCCGGGCAAATATTCCCGGAATTAAGTTTTTAGTTGGTTTATGACGCCATCAGGGATGTGCGTGGATAGGGGAAATTAGGGTGGAGTCACCCCTTGTGTATGCGACGAATTCATTAGAACTGTGGGCCATTCGCAGAGACTCATGTTTCTTCCGATTTCACTGTATTTTTTTTTGTTAAAGGGACAACGCACTGAAATTTCGGATCCCTGGCGCCTTCATTTATCATTCTGATGAGTTCACTACTACAGTTTTAATGTGAAAAATGAGAAAGAATTGGGTTTTGTTTTTTTATTGATTGGAAAAAGGATTTAGAGGAATAAAATCATCAAAAGTGGGCAAAAGTGTGAAAATTCAATTTTTTTAGTTTTTGGAATTTTTTTTCTCACAATTGGCTGAGATGAAAAAATTGAACAATTGGAGGGTGGAATTTTTGCAGATTTCTCGAATTACTCATTCAGAATATGATGAGAAAAATAATGAGAAAAATTTGAAAAAAATTAATACTTCAATTATTCACTATGTATTTCAATTTGAACAATTTTTCAGATTTTTCACCTGTTGGAATATCGAGGAAATAATTCCAAAAACTCAAAAAATGCAGATTTTTAAAAAGTACACAAACGTAACTAAATGAGCTGTTTTGAAAATTTATATTTTCTGAGTTTCTGGATTTTTTTTCTCAACATTGGCGGAAGTAAAAAATTTCAATAATTAATAATAATTTGAATAATATTCAACTACATCATGAATCATTGCAGTTTGATTTTTTCCGACCTCTCGAATCATTTATCAAGAATACGATGAGAAAAATAATGAAAAAAAATCTGAAAAAATTCATACTTCAATTATTCAATATGTACTTCCATTTGACTAATTTTTCAGATTTTTCACTTGTGATAATATCGAGAAAACATGTTTCAAAAACCCAAAAAAATTTCAAAAAGTGCCATTTTGTTAAAATTATGTCCTATATTCCGTATGTGTAAACCAGAAATTCATCAATAGATTGAGAATTGAAAAAAGAATGAAAACCTATTTAAAAAACAACATTCAGATCAAAACTGAAGTAGTAAACTCATCAGGACGACAAATAAAAGCCCCTAGAATCTCGAAATTTCAGCGCGGTCTCCCCTTAATTATCCTGGAAGGTTTATCGTGTACATATCGATTACATGCTTCCCACCATTGTACCTGTAAGTGTGCTTTTTGCACTAAACGTTCCCCGCGACTTCGCAATCCAAATGGAATTTATGACAAATCGTATTGTGACAATTCTAGTCCAGATTTAGAGAGTATGGAATTGGTAAATTTTGAGGATAACGCATGATACTTTTTATTCGGTGGTTCTTTTTACATGCGAGTGTCTATGGATGATGAGTCGTCCTTTTGGACGCGTCTACAGTGGTGGGCTGTTACTGCACACCCCTGCGATGTCACGGAGACATCAGGTTGAATTGAAAGTATTCTTTAATGAAATATATTTAGGAGGAGTCGTCACGCAGAGGAGCGAGGGTTTGATTTTAGTTGTGGTTACACTGTTGAGAGTTTTTGGCCATTATTTTTTATGGACTTCTGAGAATTAAACACAGCTTGAAGTTTCCCAAATTAAAGCGTTTTTTTTAAATTAAGAGAAAGAATTGTGGAAGAATTTTTTTAAATTCGAGTCTCGGGAATTTCAGGTTTTTAATGGAATTTTTATCTTAAATTTTGGGTGCAGTTTTGTAACAATTAATTAAAATTCTTTATTTGAAATTTTCAGGCTTTTTATCTGAAATTATGAATGAATAGAATATTTTCCATGAAACAGTGAGTAGATTCTATGAATGAAATTTCTGGGTCTTATGGAATGTTCAAAGTTTGTTGGCATTCTCGGAGGTGAATCGAGGAAATTCGGTCCCTCTGGAAAATTTAATTACATTTCAGGAGATTTTTTTAACCTGAACGATTTTTTATGGAAAAAACTGGAAATATTCAATGATTTTCATCGAAAATGTCAGTTGCAAAAATCCAACTCTTGAATTTTTAATAGAAGATCTTCAATTTTCAAATCTACTTGTTGAAATTTTTTATTTTTATTGACAATTATCAAAGAATAAAATATTGTCCATGAATTACTGGATATCTATGCTAAACTTTTTATTTTAAAATAAAAAACTCTTGATGTGTAATCTTCGATAAAAAAATCTTTAGAATTTGACTTGTGTTTCGAAATTTTCAGGGTTTTTAGAGGAGATTATCAACTAATAGAATATTTTCCATGAGGCAGTGAATATTCATGGGGAATCGTTCAGAAATGATGAGTTTGTCTTTAACTTCATGGCTTCATCGGTTAATATTATGTGCAGCGTTGAATATTCATAGCTTCTATGAAACTTCTCGGTTTTATGGAATATTCAGATTTGGTCGCCATTATCTCAGATGAACCCAGGAAATTCGTTGTCTCTGGAAAATTAAGTTCCATTTCATATTTTTTTCGAAAACCTACTCTTTTTTTTTATAAAAAAAAAACTGGGAACAGTCAATAATTTTCAACGAAAGTTTTCTTTGAAAATTTTTAACTCTTGGATTTTTAATAAAATATTTCTAATGTTCAAATCCAGTTGAAAAATTCGTTTAAATTTTTTATTTATATTGACAATTATCAACGATAAAAACCTTTTCCATGCACTACTGGATATTCGTAAAGTTTTTAGAATATAAAATTTTTTCTGTGATTTTGTGTCTCTACCAATCAATTTTACGAGCGAAATTGAATATGAATTTTCTCGATGATTGGAATTCCTCATTTTTTTACGGAAATCAACATTATTTCATCTACTCCTTGTCGAATACGAGCATTACATTTAAAATATTGAAGTCTCAATCACGAATTTCAATTTTTTAAAATTGAATCAATTATTTCTCTCAATTTCTCTATTTTATTATTTTTGTTTAACAAAAAATTCTCAAAGTTACTCTCATTTCCCAATTTCTAAGAAGCTCTATCCAAGAATTCTCAACAGTATAAAACGCGCGGAACGCCAAGAACCTTGATTTAAGAAACTGAAAAACATATCGAAAGTAAAAAAAAAGTGGTATTTAAATATTATAAAGTCGATCGTCACGTTGATATTGCATTATACAAACTATACAAATATCAAACATATCAGTAAAATAGTTATATTGATAAGAAATACTATATTTGATGAGCAAGGATAATGAACCTATAATGGTGATTCCCCACCTTTCTTTGTCGCACCACCGAGGATGCGTAAAAATCCCCGAAGTAGATGAATAGAATGATAATAATGTCCGCCGATGCTGAGCATCACTGGACTCGCCCGATAACTCCAACAGGCAGAGAAAGAGTGGGAGCTGAAATTGAAACGAGAAACCATATCCTTGCTGACGTTACATATCATGTAAATGAGTAATATTGATTGAGAGTACTTTTATGAGGATAGAAGATGAAAAAAATACTATTTTGGTATAATCGAGACGAAGCCCCTACCAGATATGAATTACTGCGATTCAAAATAGGGCCTGAATCGCTCTAATTCCGTCTGATAGAAATCTCTCCCACATCACTGATGCCAAAGGGTCAAGTCAATCTAGATCGTTCATTCCATTAGCCCGCGACTGGTCCCTTTGGCCGTCTGATGTCTGCACAATACATATCAGCTTATCACGAGGTGTAAGTTTGCTGATTGAATTTTAACGAATGAAGATCGACTCTTCGATTCGTATCGGCATCGGTCGTGAATTAAAAAGCCGTGACCCACCGAATTTTGATGATTGACGATGAAAACAGCGATGAAAAACTGAAATGTCCTAGCATTCGATAAATATCACCCCTCAATACAGTGTCTAAACATATCATATGTGATAGAGAAAGTAAAATAATTCGTTTTGATGATGTTTCATGATAATTGCGTTGTCACCGATGATTTTCATAAGTTTGTATGAATATTGAGACGTAGTTTATCATGTATTTTGAAATTGCAGAATCTAGGGTTTACAGCCACTTATTGATAAGTCTCTTCCCGGATGGGAGTGGGAATAAGGAGGTAGAAATCTGTTATTGGATAATTAATTCTCAATTTCGCCCGTCTATGTCTGTATTTTCTTGATTATTTCTAAATAAAAAATCAAGTCTGAACACTGTTTTGTATTTTATTATTCTCTTTATGCAAGGGTTAATATTCTTCTGCAGTAAGTATCAAATTTCTATTTTCAATATTTAAAAAATGAGTTTAATTTTTTTGTTATATTAATTGACGAGTAAATGTCCCACATCACTGATGCCAGAGGGTCAAGTCCATCTAAATAATTCATTCCATTAGTTCGTGACTCGTCCCTTTGGCCGTCTGACGTCTGCATAATACAAATCAGCTTATCACGAGGTGTAAGTTGGCTGATTGAATTTTAATGATTGACGACGGAAACAGCGATGAAAAACTGAAATAATTAAAATAAGTAAAATAATTCGTTTTGATGATGTTTGCTCATGACAATTGCGTTGTCACCAATGATTTTCATAAGGAGGTAGAAATCGGTTATTGGATAATTAATTCTCTATTTCGCCCCATCAATGTCTGTTTTTTCTTGATTATTTCTAAATATTAGGAAAACGGCGCGCGCTACACGCGCTCATAAAATTTGGGAGTCTCATATTAAGCTAAGTCATCATCATAGATGATTCATGCTAAGATTCATTCATTATTCAGATTGTTTCTAAGAGTAATTAATTTTTGTTAATAACGGAAGTTCTAGTAGGATGTGGAGAAGCAATTGGACAGTTATTTGATATTACTTCAACATTTTAAGATTGAATTCCACTTTATTCGATTCGTTTGATTTTCTGTATCAGAATTATCATTGTTTAGGTCACCGGAGCTGTTATTTAACTGTAAAATTTAGTTTCAGAAAAAATAATAGGGGGATTAAATGTCTTATGACTTGTTGAAAAATAAAAAAATAAGAGGAAAGAACAAATAATAATTTTTTTTATCTTTAACTTATTCCTAATAAAATAAAACATATATATGTTTGTTTTGTATTTATTTTATTATATATTTTTTAATATTTTCTTATTATTATATAAGATATTCAAGTTCAGGATGGAAATGATCCTAAGTCAAGCATGGCAGAATAGATTGCTGACAAAAAACGTTACATTCTTCTTCTAAAAGAGGAAAAAATCAAGTCTGAACACTGTTTGGCGTTTTTTTATTCACTTTATGCAAGGGTTTAACAAACTAGGTGAATCCTTTATTCTTAAACTGTAAGTATTATATTTAAAAAATTGTTTTTCGTATTTTTTGACATTAATTGAGGACTCTCCCCCTCAATATCGAAGGGGCACATCAAAATTAAACAACATGAATCATGAAGTGACATTGGCTAATCATATCAAATGTAGATTATCGTTTCGAGTGGATTTGAATTGGTCTAGTGAGCCACGTGATACTTCGAAGAGCGAGGGGTCCGTGTATATGGGCTCGCTCGGGTCGAAGCCACTGCGACGATTCACGGTCAATCCAACTGCACCCTCCATCGCCGACGACGACTCGTGATGATTGAATATCTGGCTCAACGATCTATCGCAGTGACAAGGTAATTTCTTCGATTAAAATTTATGAATTATTGACTTGGGGGCTTAACTGATTTACTCACGATGTCTGGAATGGTTTCTGCAGGCCTGATCTCATGAACGAAAAATTATTGACTCGAGTGTTGGTGGATTCTCCGGTTGGAGACGTGTGGAGGCTCTTGTCGACCGTTCGATTTTTTCTAATGATTGAATATCCATATTTTCTGGCACAGAGCGGAATTAAATTAGTTGTCAAGAAGTGATTGATTTGTACATTGTTTCCAGGGCTAGGGAATAATGCATTAGAAAATAACATAAATGTTATTGTTACAGAGGATTGCTTGAATTTTTTTTAGAAGGGAACTAAATTTTTTTAATTTGGATTTTCGAACAAGAATTAAATCACTAGTTTTTATTCCACTATTTCAACAGATATGAAATTATAAATGTTATTTTTAGAGAGGAGTGTTTGAATTTCATATCTTTTTAAAGTGAATTATATTTATTCAATTTGGAATTGCAAACCGGAGAGAAATCAATAGTTGTTATTCCACAATTTTAACAAATATGAGATCGTGAATAATTTTTTTATGTTTGAAAGGCCTCATGATGTCCAGGGCTATGCAAAAATACATTAAAAAAATGATGTAAATGTTTTTTTCTGAGGATTATTTAAATTTTGAATTTTTTCAGAACTGACTGACATTTACTGAATTTCCATTGTCAACCAGAAATGAAATCACCAGTTGTTATTCCACTATTCCAAGAAATATAAGTTTATGAATGATTTTGTGTTGTTTACGAGGCCTCCAGAGTATGCAAAACCTCCGAAAATAGCTATTAGTTTTTTAAATTCAGTTAAATACTGTTTTAGTCACTTTTGATGATCCTAGCGCAATTAGTCTCGCACGTTCCCATTCAAGTGGTATTTACCCAGTTTTAGTTGAGACAAACACATCATAAATACCTATAAATCAACAAAGACAGCATGATGACAGACGACAGAAGTACCACAAGCCCCACAACAGCAGTGACAAGCCCATAGTACTCATTCGGAGTTATGCATATCGACTCGACACTCGCCACTTGCTTCTGAATGACGGAATTATCCTCGTACATGTCGTACCTCGAGTCGAGTACTTCGATCATCTCCCTGACGTGTTCCTCCTCGCCCTCCTCCTCCCCCTCTCCCTCTCCCTCTTCCTCCCCCTCCTCGGGTAGGCCCTCACCGTTTAATTCAGTGTCATTTCTCGCAGGAATTTCGGCGATCAATCCCTCGGGAATGGGCTCGAGGGACCTTCGCCTGCGCTTCCCGAAGGATGGCTCACTGCGACCAGCACTTCCGGAGCAGTAAGCCGGCTGACAACCGTCACGACACGACCTCACTGTTGCCTCGAACACTAGGAAATTGGATTCGGGGATTTTGAAGGCATTGAAACGGGCCTCGAGGCTGTCACCCTCGCGGAGACGATCGAGCCCCGGGAAGACGTAGTTGTCGACTGGGCAACTGTAAATCGTTCATGTTTGGTCACAATT